TCCAGGGGACATCTGATCACCTGGCCTGCCTTCAGCAAGAATTCCATCAGATCACTCCGTGGCAGGGGTGAGCAGGGCAGTGGGTGACTGGCAGGAAACGGTCAGCTTGGAGGAACAGTGCCCTGGAGGTGGCCAGGAACAGGAGGGCTGCAGAGAACAGTGACCAGTTACTAAAGCACCCAGTGGACCGGCCACCACGCTGCACACATCACATTTCATCTTCAGGACCACCACGCAGGGGAGGTAGTGTCACTGATCCCTCACAGCTAAGACGGCTGAAGCTGCAAAACAGGGACAACCCACCCTTGTCACGTAGCCAGTAGGTGACATCTCGGAGCTTGGACCAGGTCTGGTCCTGGAGCCTGGGCTCTTCCTCTGGCCAGGTGCCTCTGTGCTCACGCCACTGTCTGTCCTGGCCATCCAGGCCCGTGAAACACAAGGTCCCTCCCCCAGACCACGGAGTGGTAGGGTAGGGTGGGGCCAGTTCTGTGGACGGAACTCTTGTCTTGTTTCCTTGAGGGGTTGCTTTGGGGACTGCTGATTCCCGCATTGCCAACCCTTTATGTCCTTTAGAGTCCTGTGGTCAGCATGCCCCCCTTGCCCTGAGCCAGCCCACCAGGTTGATCAACTGCCACAAGCCCCTTCTCTGTAGCAGTTGATGCTGGCCTTACTGCACAAATGGAGCTCAGAGTGAGCTCAAAACCAGTTCCCCAGACAGTGTCTGAACTCATCTTCGTTCTTCCCTGGGCAGATCTCCTTGGTCAGACTCACTCTGCTTGGGCTAAATGGCCCGGAGAGGGCTCTGGTTCCTGCTGGGGACAGCTAAGGGAGCAGGTTTGCATTCAAATGTGGAAGAATCCAAGTGCCGTCTCAGGGTTACCCCGGGCGAGGACAGGGTGATGCTGGGCAACAGGCGTGTTTTGGCCTTGGGATCTGGGCTGCCTGGGATCACACCCCTCATTCCAGGAACCCTGCTACCACCACAAGCATGCCTCGCACACAGGTTGCCTGGTGCACTCTCCATTCAGACCATCCTGCTAGGACTTTCTGAGAGTGTTCGTTTTTGTTCCTTTGCCCTCGGGGTTCTTTAACACCACGTGTATATCTTAGGCAGGGAAGGATTAAAAGGTCAAAATGTTGAAAAGCTCTGCAGTGTGGGGAGGTGGTGAAGGAAAGGCATTGGAGGTCTTGGCTCTTCTGATTCAGAAGGTAGTGGTTTCCCAGGGACAACGGGAACTTCCATGGAATGAGGACTGTAGACTCCTGATTAGACGGTTTTGGGGGGTGGGCGTCTTCACATTGGCTTTCACTGGAACACCAAGCTTCTTTCCATTGTTTGAAGGTTTTGGCAAGCAAGGCCCATCAGACCAAAGAGATGTGATTTTTGGACCATACCTGAGATTTGCCCGGAGAAGTGCCTCCCTGACTTTGCACGTCCTGTCTGCTGGGAGACACAGGTACACGAGGGCAGAGCGGGGACTTTCTTCACGACGTCCTCTCCCCAGTTCTTGTTGGTCAGCCCGGGAGCATGTCAGGGGCAGGGGTGGCCTGGTGTGCAGGGGCTGCCCCATGGACATTGCCTCAATGAATGAAGCTGTGATGGTTAATATCAAGTGGCAACTTGATTGGATTGAAGGATGCAAAGTATAGATCCTGGGTGTGTCTGAGAGGGTGTCACCGAAGGAGATTAACATTTGAGTCAGTGAAATGGGAGACACAGATCCAAGCTCAACCTGGGTGGGTATAATCTCATCAGCTGCCGGCGAGGCTCGGAGAAAAGCCGGCAGAGGAGTGTGGAAGGGCTAGGCTGGCTGACTTTCCTGGCCTGTCTTTCTCTCATGCTGGCTGCTTTCTGCCTTCGAACTTTGGACTCCGAGTTCTTCAGCTTTTGGACTCTCGGACCTACACTGGTGGTTTGCCGGGCGCTCTCAGGCCTTTAGTCCCAAACCTGCTCTTCCCATGATCATTCCAGTCATGGTGAGTGGCACCACCACTTCCCTGGGTGCCAAGACCCCCACACCTGGAGATGACACCGTGGTCTCCTGTGAAGCTTGCTCTCTCTTTCCCCAAGCCCTATCAGCTCCACCTTCCTATTAGACCCCAAAGTCCTTCATTTCTTATCATCTCTGCAGTGTCACTGCCTCAGACTGGCCCCTGACTTCCTCTGTGTCCCCCGAAGGCCCCAAGTCTGCTCCATATAGTAACTGGAACGATTCCTTTAAGACCCGAGCCAGGGTGGGCACAGTGGCTCACACTTGTTCTCCCAGCACTTTGGGGGGCTGAAGCAGGCATCTTACTTGAGCCCAGGAGTTCCTAAAATATCTCAAAGTTCTCAAAACTTGAGACCAAGCTGTTTCTGGGAATCTTTTAGGAGTTCAAGATCAGCCTGGGCAAAATAGCAAGACCCCATTCCTTCAAAAAATTTAAAAAATCACCTGGGCGTGATGGCAGCCACCTGTAGTCCCAGCTGCTCCAGCGGCTGAAGTGAGAGGACCACTTGAGCCCAGGAAGTGGAGGCTGCAGTAAGTGTGATTGTGCCACTGCTCTCCAGCCTGGGTGATAGAGTGAGGCCCTGTTTCTAAAAAATAAAAACAAAAAGACTCAAGTCAAACACATTATTCCTACACCCAAAGCCCGTGAATGGCTTCCTCTCTGGCAACTGGAATTTAATGCCAAGCCTTCCTGGAGCTGGAACGGCCTGCCTTGCCCCAACTAGCTGTTCTGTGGCCTCACCAGGGACCCAGATCTGTCCACTCGCTACTGTCCAGTGACAGTGGCTTCCCACCATCCCTTAAACTCCCCCTTCGTAGGCCGGGCACGGTGGCTTATGCCTGGGAGGCCACGCGAGTAGATCACACAGGTCAGAAGTTCAAGTCCAGCCTGGCCAAGATGGTGAAACCCTGTCTCTACTAAAAATGCAAAAATTAGCCGGGTGTGGTGGTGCATGCCTGTAATCCCAGCTACTTGGGAGGCTGAGGCAGAGAATTGCTTTAACCCAGGAGGCGGAGGTTGCAGTGAGCCGAGATTGTGCCACTGCACTCCAGCCTGGCGACAGAGCAATACTCCATCTCAAAACAAAAACAACAAACCTCCCCGTTTGCTACGGCTGCTGTAGGCCGTTGCACTGTTTTCTCTGCACAGAATGCTCTCCCCATCCTTGTGGCTTGCTCCTGAAATTCATGCCGGTGAGGTAGTCAGAGGCCCCCTTAGCCCCACCAAAGAGCCCAGGAGTTCAAGGTCAGCCTGGACAAAATAGCAAGATCTGGTCTCTTCTGGCTGGTGCTATTTAGCATTTTCATTGAATGGAGGAGACTTTTTAATTTTAGTAGCGAGTGGACAGACCAGGGGTCCCAGGTGAGGCCACAGCTGGAGAATTCCCCTCTTCACCCGCTTGCTGCCGTGTCTCTTGGAACCTCTGACCCGCTTCCCTTTTCTCTGTGGAGCTTGTCACCATGGTTTTGTAACTCATTTAATGCCTTGTTTTCCCAACAAGAATGCATAGCAGTCTGCCTGGATGACAGACGCAACCCCCCTCCCCTCCCACAAGGCTGGGCATGCACCCAATAGAGTTATCAAATAGATAAATAATCACAATTGCAGAGAGGAGGCGGCCACGTCTGGCAGCCTCCATGTGTGGTGCCAGGGCCATGCGTCAGGCCATTGATGAGCATTAGCTCATTGGATTTCCATACTGACCTTGGGAGGTGGGTACTCACAAATCCATTTTTACAAATAAGGAACCTAAGGCCCAAAAAATCCCAAGGAGACCACCCAGCCTGCCACGGGTTGAGCCAGTTTGGATGCCAAGTTTGCCTGCAGCCTGAGCCCAAGTGCCACTCCTGCTCCATGCCACTCTTGGGCATGGCTCTGATGACTCCCCTCCTGCCTGCCCCTGACGGGTCTCTGCCCAAGTGTTCTGGTAAGGATTTTCATCCCACAGTCTGCCCCCTTCATTAGAAGTGACTCCCATTCGTTCGTTTTAAAGGCTGTTTCTCTCCTGTCTTCTATCTTTGCAAATTCTGGTTAGCTAAACAAGAAGTCCAGGAGTTCTGGGCTGCACATCAGTGAGATGGGAAGGACAGGGAGAGGTGCCCACCTCCGTGTGCTAATGCATTTACCTTCCGGCTGCAGGCGTCCACAGAGTTGGCAGCCAGGACCCTCCAGAGGCTCCAAACCTAGCCTGCCCTGTGAGAACAAGCTGCTGCTTGGGAATCTTTTAGCTCAAGATGCTGTGTTCCATATTCATGATGAAATTTCCATGTTCATGAGGACATCCAGTAAGTAGCACGGCATTTGGGAAGGAATTCCAGCCAGTTACATTTAGGGGCCTGAAAAAACTTCCAAACCAAGAATGTTTTCTGGCTAGTGCCATTCAGCATTTTCATCTAATGGAGGAGACTTTTTTTTTTCCTTTTTCTTTTTCTTTTCTTTTGCGTGCCCTGGCTACTCAGTAACTGTTCTCCACGCCAGCTGAGCCCCAGTGGCTCCACTTGTCACCGCTGCCTCGGAGTCATTCTGTCCCATGGGCTGTTGAGGGAACAAGGCCTCTAGTGACAGTCCTGGCTACAAGGGAAGAGGCTGGTTATGTTTCGTCTTTTCCAGTCTGGTTCCTTCCTCTCAAACCCAACTCCTGTGTTATCTCCGGGAGCCCTGCAGGAACAGGGCTTTACAAAGTTCTTCTTCAGCGAGGCACGGTGGCTCACGCTTGTAATCCCAGCACTTTGGAAGGCCAAGGTGGGTGGACCACCTGAGGTTGGGAGTTCGAGACCAGCCTGACTAACATGGAGAAACCCCATGTCTACAAAAAATAAAAAATAAAAAAAGCCGGGTGTGGTGGCGCATGCCTGTAATCCCAGCTGCTTGGGAGGCTGAGGCAGGAGAATCGCTTGGACTTGGGAGGTGGAGGTTGCGGTGAGCTGAGGTCACGCCACTGCACTCCAGCCTGGACAAGAGTGAAACTCCATCTCAAAAAAGAAAAAGAAAAAAAAATTCTACTTTTTCCTCAGCCTTCCTGCTCGGTCTGGGATTAGCGTTCATGCCCACGCTTGGGCCTCCTCCCCTTGCTAAGCTGTTGGTTCACCTCTCCCAAGGGTCTGGGGTCTGTGTGGTTCCTTCCTTCTCCCCCTACTGACTTCTCTTGCTTTGGGATAATACCACCCCTCCCTCCCCGCTACCAAACAAGCCCTGCGTGCCCCACCCTCTCCTAAGCAACTTACAGGTATGAACTACCCTGTCTCCGAACAACTCTATGGGACATCTCATAGAGATCCCCGCATCTTCCGGAGAACAGAACGCAGGCTCAGTGTGAAGTGACTTGCGAATGGTCACTCTGGGAAGGGGAGGCCAGGATGTAGGACGCATGCTGGCTTAACTCTGCTGCTATTCTGCCTCACAGCGTTTAGTGTGGAGAGAAGGGCCTTCGCGGCAATACTAGCCTAGGTGCACGTTGGCCCTCTTGTTGCTGAGCACTCAGCTAGTCCGTCTCACGGAGTTGTTTCGTCGGCAGAATGGACCTGAATGTATTCCTGACTCACAGGGTAGTTTTTACAGGTGAATTGTGATCACAGCTGGCAATCAACCTGGTCCCACAATGACATGGAAAGCAGCCCCCTCTGCGGCACCACTGCTGTGCCTGGGCTGTGTAGGAGGATGGGTATGGGCAGGGAGGGTGGCGGGCAGTCCCACGTCTGGGGCTCTAGGCTGACGGCGGTGGCTGAGATGGAGTCATCCGGACCTCAGGCCAGCCCCCCCATCTCATCCCACAGGGCACGGTACGTTCCCCACCATGTGGCCACCTGTCTGTGACTGTTCACTGTCACTAGAACGAGAGGACCCGTGCCTGCCAAGCTCCAAAGGCGGCTCATCGTCGGTGGCAAGGTAATTTCACAGAAGCGATGTGCGCGGTGAGTGAACTGCTGCATCTTCTACACGCCTTCACACTACTCCCACACTCATGCATGCACACACCTGCTGCAGGGGAACCCCACCGCTGAAGTCCATCCTCCACCCCCCAAGGGAGCCCAAGTTTGTTCAAAAAACAAACTCCACGTCAAAAAGAAAATAACAAAACAACCAAACTTTACTTGCATTTAGCCATTAATAAATAATTTACAGTATGTACACGGGGTGACGCTCCACACAGGTCACAGACATGTGGACGCAGTGAGGGGTCCCCACTTGCAAGCAGAACGTGAGCAAACACAACCAAAATAAAGTGCTTCACTTTTTACTTCCAACATAGGGACCATCAAAAACCGGCGGGGAGAGGGAGAGGCTGGGCCCAGGCCGCCTCCCTGCTGCCCACGTGGTTCTGGCAGAGGGAGCAGGACCTCTTGGAGGGAGGGGGAGACACGTTCTGCAGCATCCTGGCCAGTGTATGAGAGGTCCCTGGGGAACAGCAGAGGGGCTGCCGCCGATGCATGGGGAGGGGAGGGGCAGGGCTGCACCTTTTGGAGGAAAGCCTGACTTTGTGCTGTGGGCACGGGGGGACTGTTCTGGGCTCCTCGATGGGCAGCCTGAGCTAAAATGAGGCAGGAGCCAGGGCTCGCTCTCTCCTGGCAGGGTGGTAACTGGGCTTAAAGGAAGATGTTAGAGGTTGGAGACCCTCCAAGGGATGCTCAGGGCTGAGAAACCCAAGACCCTGCTCCACTCCCCAGACTCCAGATGTGGGTGGGCTGGGTGGGTGCTCCTGGGGTGGTGAGGAGGCAGAGGATGAGGGCAGGCCGGCTGACCCCATCCACGGGTTCTCCTGCTGCACCCCGTGGCCCAGGCTCCCTGGCATCTGAGGCAGGGAGAGAAACAGGGATCTCTTCTGTTTAGACATTTAGAACCAAGCACTTCAACTTCCTAAGCACAGGGTTGAGGGGGTGGGGGCCTGGGCCAGAGCCGGGCAGGTGCCTGAAAAACCAGGACCTGCAGCTGGTACCCACCACAGCCCTGAGGCCACAGTGAGAAGGCATCAGGTGGGCATTACCTCCAGGCCGAAAGGCTCCGTCAGTTGGCTAAGGTGCTGAGCAGTGCCCTGGGGGTTCCCTGGCTTGGGCCAAGTCCCAAGGCAGCCTCCCAGGGTGGCTAGGCCTGGGCATCCCCGCTGGCCTAGGGGGTATGAGTGTGCTCTGTTGTGAAAGTGTGTGCGCGCGTGGCGGGCAGAGATGGCCCCAAGAATCGGCGAGCAGCAGTCGGCCGGGCCTGGTTCAGTGCATTGCGAGGGAAAGGAGCTGACTCTGACGGTGCCCAGTGTCTCTCTGGTGGGGGTGGGGGTGGGGGTGGGGGCCTTCAGCCTGAGGGGCTGTTTTGCACATTCACACTGCGGGGGTGGGGCGAGGGGAGCTGCTCTCCCTTTCACGCAGTTCTACTGTCACAAACATCACAGCACCAGTCACCACAACCTTGTCACGTGCACTAGAGGGGGAGGGGCCTGAGCCTTTGCCAGCAGGTGGGACCACAGGGGCCAGCCCAGGGGATGGATCTGCATCCCACTGGCGGTCCCCGGTCCCAGCCCACAGATGGAGACGCTGAGGGGACAGGGCCCACGCCTCCCTCCACATCTACGCATCTAGCAGAACACAGGGAGCAGGGCCAGGAGCAGGACGAGGGCACCGAGGAGCAGCCGGGGGACTGGAGGGAGTCCCGCTGCTGCCGCCCTGCCCGGCAGGTCCTGAGTCCTCTCGTATAGGTGCAGTTTGTCTTTGTTGGAGTGGAGCATCTTGACGTCCTCCAAGGCATAGTAGGCAGCCAACGTGAAGTTCACGTCACCTGTGGTGAGGAGGTCGAAGACGCAGGCCTGGTAATACAGGTCCTCCACTGGCAGCTTCTCCTTGCACTTGGCCACGGCCGTCTCATAGGGGAAGGTGTCGGGGGCCGTGGGTGCTGGGCTGGCGGCTGCTGGCCTGCGGGCGCCGGGGCCCTCAGTGTTGGCGTGGAAGGCCTGGAAGTCAATCTGCTGGTTGAGGGGGCAGCCCCGCAGGCACAGGTAGAGGCCCTGGCTGTCCCAGTCCTCCACGGCGTTGACCACCTCCTCCGGCATGCGCACGGCAAAGGTCAGGTAGCGGCCCACCTGGCGGACCACGATGGTGGTGCCGATGTACTTGGCCTGGATCTCCACGTGCTGGCCCGACACCTTCTCTGTGATCTTCAGGCTGTTGGCCCCGTGCTTGTCCCCACCATTCTTAGAGCCATCCACGAAGGCGCCCGGGAGCTCATCCATCTCAGCCTGGTACACCTTCTGGTCCACGCACTCCTGGAAGTTCTTGAAGATGATGGTGAGCTGCCGGGGAAGAGGAGAGTGGGTGAGGCACATGGGACGAGGCCCTGCTCCACAGTTAGGAGGGCACGGAGGATCCCCCAGGGGTGCCCCAGACACCCCTTTCCCGGGTGGGACAGATGCCTTAGTTCACCTCTGCACCTCACTCTTTAAACCAACTTGGCTTTCTTACTTTAACAAGTGACTTAGAAAAATGATAGGCTGCTACCCTAGGTAGAAACCAGCTCTCCTACTGGATAGGGAAGTGAACCATAACAATAAAAGCATAGATAATTAAAAGGTCAGTAGCCCAGTGTGCTAGGCTGCAGAATGGTGCCTAAGGAGAACAGGCCCTAATCCCTATAACCTGGGCATGTTCCCGTAGATGGCAAAAGGGACTCCGTAGCTCTGACTGGGTAAAGAACACTGAGATGAAGACTACCTGGATGGGCCCTAAATGGAATCACAAGTGTCTTTATAAGAAAAAGGAAGAGGGAGATTTGACTAAGACAGAGGAGGTGATGTGACCACAAACCCAGGGATGCTGGCAACCCTCCAAACCTGCAAATGGCAATGAATGCTTTCTCCCATGGTGCCTCCAGAAGGATCAGCTCTGCTCTACCTTGATTTTTTCTCTGGGAGACACATTCTCAACTTCTGGCTTCCATATTATACAACATTTCTGTTGGTTTCAACTGCTCAGTTTCTGCTCATTTGCTACAGTGTGACAGGAACTGATGTGCAAGCATCACCGTGGATAAGGACAGTGGTACCGGAGCACAATGCCTGCCAAAGGACCCAAGCAAATGCCTGAACGTTACAGCAGGGGGAATGGAGGAAACCGATGCTCTACTAATGAACAGGGCAAAATCCAGGTAAGCAGGCAGAAGCCACAGTCCCAAGGCTACCGAAAGGGGTCCCCACACCAGGCCATGGAGGAGGTACCAGTCTAAACACGTGGCCCAGGCTGGAGCACCCTTCTCCTCCTGAGAGCCAGACCCAGGTGCACAGGCTGCATACAGTGTCCCAGGCACTGTATTCATTGCTTCTAGTTTTGTGTGACAGTGTCAAGTTCAGAGACATTACTCCTAATTTTCTAGATGAGAAAATGCAGGCTCACAGCAGGATAATGACTTGCCTAAGGTCACATAGCCAGCAGGAGGCAGAGCTGGGACTAACTCTGGGGTTCCAGACTCTGGGCTTTTTTGGCCACAAGCACCTAGGGTGGGAGGCGTGGGAGGAGGAGGAGGACGGGGGGCCGGGGGGGAGGCCTGGGCTGGTGAATTTCCCCTGCGGTCCTGGGTGGCAGCTCTTTCCTACCTAACCTGAATTAAGTAGGCTATCTGGGTTGGAAATAGAGAAACAACCCCCCCACCCACCTCTTCCTCTCCTCTCCCAGGTGTCAGCTGTTTTGCCATGAAAGCTCTGGGTGCTTGTCACCCCGGACCAAGGAGAGCTGGAACCTGGACTCCCAGCTTGAAGCCAGGAAGAGAGGTGGGGTGAAGGGAGCAAGGTGGCACCCAGGCCTTTTGGGACCTCCATCTGCTGCACTGCCCTCTTCTCAGCCTGGCAACCAGCCCCAACCCCTCCCCCTAGGAGAGGGTCTGGCCAGCTGGCTGGCTGATGGCTCTCCCAAAGGAGCCCACCTGCACCCAGCCTCAAGGGCTCCAAACAAGGGGCAGCTGCTGCCCCCATGCGCGGCCATATTCTGTCTGGGCACGAGGCAGGGGCATGAGGACTGCCTGGCTGGCTTTCCGGCTAGAGGGCAGTGCTGCCAAGGGCCAAGGGCTTTCTGGCCTCACAGCAGATGTGTGATGAGGGCACAGCCCAAGGTGCCGGAACCCAACAAGGAATAAGAAGCTGCGCTGATGGGGAAGGGAAGGCAGGGAAACCACAGAAGAACCTCAGCTCCACCAGGAGGGTCGCAGATAGGCAGAAGGTCCCGGGGGCCAGCCAGGGATGCAGCACAAGGCCATCCTGTCTGACCTGGGGCCACAGCCTCAGGAGCAGAGGCTAAGAGGCGGCCTGGAAAGGAGGGGACACAGAACCCTCCAGGTAATGCAAGCCCATGGGGTACTGAGCCCCTGGAGGTGGCCCCAGCTGTGTTGCTGTGGCTTGGTGTATTCCCCATATTGGCATAAAGCTTTGGGGTGATGAGGTGGGGAGTGCTGGTAGCCTGAGGGGTGTGGAACCCCCAGAAGAAAAGAGAGACCCTAGGCCAAGGCTTCTGAAGAAGGAAAATCCTGTCCTTTGATGCTGTTGGTCAGAAAGGCAAGGCTGGGAGGAGCTGGGCGAGGGGCAGGTCACTGGAGGACTTTAAAAGAAACGGCAGTCTTGTCGTTAGCCCGTTCATGGCCGGCACGAGGCACTGTGCGCTCTGTGCCTGACGGAGACGTGCAGTGCCAGGGCTCTGCGGGAAGATGGAGGCCAGCACCGGGAGGCTCCAAGCACACAGCTACCTGAGCACCGGACTTGATTTCCTCGTCCCCTCCCAGGAGGGGTCCCAGCCTGGCCCCAGGACATGGCACACTCTTGGTTTGCCTGGGATGCCAAAGGTGGCTGCAGCCTCTCCATCCAGCAGGGAGCCCTAAGCCGTGAACCTGATGCAATTGCTGCGACTCTACCACTCCTGACCTCTGGAAATGGCAACTCCAGACAGTTCAAGCTCCTGCTTCTTCCTTCTTTCCACCCACTGGCTGGCCCACCTCAGTGTGGAGGCGCCTGGGGGGCCGGAGGTGGGCCAGCCCGGGTGGTCTGGGCCGTGGGTGGTCCTGCCATGGGGGGAGGATGGGGGACTCTGGTGTCCCTGCCTGGTGTGCAGGGCCACACAGACACTGGAGGTGGGGGGTGGGGGTCCTGCTTTCCAAGTGCCATCAGTCTCCCTGGAACAGGAAAGGCTGGTTTCGCTCTAACCGACATCTCTCGCAGAGACAGCCTCCTGGAAGGCTGACAGGCTGCCTGACTCTTCTTGGCACTGGTGCCAGGGACTCAACCACAAGTAACAGCATGAAGGGGGCCTGTCGAAAGCCGGCGGCTCACTGCCAACACAGCCGCGGGCGGGCAGCCGCTCCTGCCTCTGCCGCTCCTTCTGCAGGGGCCCTGGCCCTTTCCACTGCGCCGGACACGAGGCAGAGCCCTGGCTGCAGGAGCTACTATTTATGGAGCTCCACTTCCATGCCAGGCCCAGTACAAGGGGCTGGGGGGACACAAGGGAGAGGATCCCCGGGCGCCAGGGGGTCACAGGCTGAGCAGCTGAATCCTGCCAAAGGAGGGACTGGCAAGGGTGATGGGGAAAACTAACCCGTGGGGAAAGGAAGGGGAAGGCACAGGACGCGAGTTTCTGTCCTCTCCTGAGTCTGTGTGTCTGTAAAATGGGTGCTAGCGGCACAGCTGGAGAGATGGAGCAGGGGCTGGGCACAGAAGGCTGTCCCACAGTGGTAAGAAACTGGCTAAAACGTCCAGGTGGAAAACACGAGATTTGATCACAAGAACGGAGGGATTGTTGGATTGGCTGAAACTGCCCATATCCTGAGAAACAAGTGATGCCCAAGGGTCTGGGGCCAGCTTCATGCACACACAGTGAGATTCTGCACAAGGAGGCCAATCTCATGGCTGCAGGGTCAGGCCAGGCCAAGGCTGGACACTGGGAAGCCCAAGGAGAGGCCTTCAAGGGCAGGTGGGGGGGGGGGGGGGGGGGAGTCTGGCTGGCTCAGTTGGGAAAGGGGAGTGGGTTCCAGCAGGTGCAGAGGTCTCTGTTGCTGGTGGCTGAGGTGGCCACAAAGTCCAGAGGTCTCATGATGTAGGAGATGACAGTCCCTTGCCTTCCCCTGCTCCCTGTGGACACCAGGCTGCTCTCCCACACTGCCAGCTTTGGACACCGACTCCTCTGTTCCCCCATCTGTGCTACACACAGGGGGAGTTTGCTGTACAGCCTCCCCTGTTCTCTGGACAGAGCCAAGGCTTCCAATGGCCTTCAGCATCCTGCTTCCCCAGCCCCCCTCACCAACTCCCCTTTGCTGGTCTCTGTTCGTCACACGCCTGGGAGGGAGGGCCATACCTAGCTTAGAGGCTGGCACAGATGCAGCCTCTGGTGGCTGCTGCCTCGGTGAGTGAACAGACACACCCAAGTAATGGAGGCCTGCAAAGACAGTGGGGGCAACCACAGGTGCCTGAAGCCAGCCACCCATGTTCTCACCGGGGAACACACTACCTCAGCCTCCAGCAGAAAGCAGCCTGCTGCCATCAAAGGTGGCCCTCGGTTGCAGCAGAAATGGGCTGGGTTGGTGAAGCTTAGCTTCATACTTTCTGGAAACCACCATGCTGGGACAGGAAGGGATATTCTGCCTTTGCTGCTCCAGCAGTTCTGCTGTCCACAGTGCCCAGAATCGAGCCAGGATTAGAACCCAGCCCATTGCTCCATTGCCCTCTTTCCAGCTGCGCTGCTACCACCCGTTTTACAAAGAAACAGACTCAGGAGAGGACAGGAACTCGAGTCTTGCACCTTCCCCTTCCTTTCCCTGCTGGTTAGTTTCCCCATAGCATGTGCCAGTCTGTCCCTCAGCATGATGCATTTGAAAAACGTGGATCAACTGAATGAATGAAATTTAAAAAGGAATGAATGAGCGGTCCATTGCCATTTGGGTTGTGGACAGCATCGCCACACTCAAGGTCCCCCTGTGCCTCCGCTGACAGCCAAGGATGGTGTCCTGAGCCCAGGCACGCCGCCCCAGCCTGCAGCCTCTGGCTCTACCCTGTCACACCACCTCCACCCATAATGGGGGCAGCAGCCCCGCCTCCCTGTGCCCAAACCACACATCCTCTCCAGTGTGTGGCTTGGCTCGGTTGTCACATTTGCTGGGGTCTGGAGGAGCAAGCCAGTAGGGGTCCATATCCCTCTTACATCCTCAGACCTCCCTTTGTGTCCCGCCAGCCCTTGGAAGCCTGCAGGATGGGACAGGGAGGCCAGGTCCTCTCCGAAGCCGGCTGGTACCCAGATTTAAAAGCTACAGCCTCAGGCTCCCAGTGTCCATTTCTCTCGGCTCTCAGGAGGGCGGGTGGTAGGGAGGTACAGAGGCCGAGGGGGAGGGGGCTGGGTCCTTGGTGCAGGCCCGAGTCTGCAGAGGGCTGGGAGGGCACAGTGGGGAGTGGACTGGCTGCAGGTCTCCTCCATTAGGCGTCATGGCCTAGGGCCAAGGGCCTGCTCGTTTCTTGCCCAGAAAGAGACCCCCTGGAGGCAGGCAAGGGCCACCGGAGCAGAGGGAAGTGGCAAGGATGGAGCATTTCCCTGGCGGCCAGATCACCTCGCTGTCCTCTGGGTGTGGAGGACTGGGAAGGAACAGAAACGCCCTTGTGGCGAGTCTGGCACTGCCTGCCACGCGGCCTTCCAACTGGCTCTTCCTAGGAAAACAGACCCACTGCTGGAAACCCCAGGGGGCAGTGGAGGGCCAGGCACCGGGGAGGGCGGACGTGTCCCTACTGCCTGAACTGGGAGCCACCAGCTTCCTTCCTGGCCTCGAGGCCTTGCCCTCTGGCTAAGTCTGAATATGAAGTCACAGGACATCCTCTCCAAAAGTGGGTAGGGGAGGGAGAGGCTGGGGTGGACAGGAGTGTCCATTTGCATGGGCCCATGGCTGTGTGTGTGTGGCTGCCTCTGGCTGTGGCCCCAAATCAGGATCTGAGTCCTGCTGCCCACATG